CACAACCCCGAAAACTATGTCCAAAGACATGAAAAACTTTTTAACTAACACGAAAATGCAAAGCAAACCAAAACAAACAAAGGCAACAAAGACAAAAAAAAACTGAAACACGGGACATCAAACAAAGAAAAATCGGAATCTAACCACACCACAACTTCAACCGCAAAGCCTAAAGAGAGGAGAGCCTTCCACTAATGTCACCAGACCGGCCCGCCACACGTATCCAAGACACTTGGGTATTGGGCCTCCAAAATTTTTAAGATTTTTAGTAACAATACTAGATTGTTACCCGTGGTACACCGCGGGTTGAATATTTTTATTATTTGTTATTTAATAATACAATAATAATTGGTTTTATTTTATTTTGATTTTTTTTTTGTGGTTATATATATATTTATATATTATAGTTGGGATTGTGTTATAAGTTATCGATATTATTTGTGTATAACATGTTTTAATCGAGTCATATGTGTTACATAAAAATTATTTCCTTTTATATTAATCGTCTAATTGATACTACATAATTAGTTATTTTTTAAAAGTTTGGTAATGTGTAAACATACAGCTTGTTTCTATGGTAAGATTAATTTTCATATATGTGCATTTGGCTTTTATATGTTAAATGTCAATCTGTTTGCATTGGTAATATAATTCTCAGATTTTAGATATCTTGTATTATATGATTTATTTAGATGTGAAGGATTAAAATAATTTTAATCAATATAAATTGCACGATAGTTTGATTTTATTAAGGAAAAATTAATTTTTGATCATGTAAATATGGCTGTGAATAGTTTTTTTCATATGCAAAAACTTATTGTTTGAGATAATAATATGTTTTAATTAATTAGTTTGCATGATATATATTGAACTTAATAACATAATTAACATGTTAATACAAAATCAGGTAACCTCTCATACATGTTGGGCTGTAGACAACAAAGTCCTTTAATGTTACTGGGCAAAAAAAAAAAAAATGCAAAAGAACCGGTCAGATTAGTTGATCTGATCCGGTAACGTACCGACCGGTTAACACAAAGCTCGCGAAGACGGGTCATTTTCAATTCCGCGAAACACAATCAACCTAACTTCTTCTTCTCCATTTTCTTCATCTTCTTCACCATTTTCTTCATCTTCTTCTTTAATCTCGTCTTCTTCGGCTCAAAACCTAAACCAAACAAAACCTTAACACCACTTCTTCTCTCGATCAATCAATCAGCGATTATTCACCTTTAATCGACCATGGATCTTTCCTTAATCGTCGATCCCAATTAACATGGCTTCGAACGGCGCTTCTCCGGTATCTTTCTCCCTCGATATCTTTCTGCAACAATTTAGTGTCTTTATTTTGGCTCCTTTTCTAATTGACAGTCTTAAACTGACCCATTTTGTCAATTTCGGAAAATTCGTAGAGGATTGTTGATGCTACTGATAACAGCTTGGATAAGATCAAGCAGCAATTGGAATCGAGGGTTATCGGAACTTGCTTCTGGGACCTCTTATTCAAGCGAGCTGAAACTGTAAGTTCAATTCTTATTCTGACAATAGTATATTCAATAGTTTGTAACTCAAATGATTTTCAGTGTTCTGAGCACAGCTAAACTTTGAATGACATAGCAACTCTACTGATTAGCTAATCGATTAATGTGTGTTTGTCTAGGAATTAACATAGAATCCGACTAATTGAAAGTTGGAAACTCCTCAACTTAACATAAGCAGATAAAAAAATGAAGAGAAGGTAAGAGTACAGTTAGTGATTTTGGGCGGCATAAAGGACTTTATGATGATTATTTTGAAGTATCTAACCCTTGCTGTATATTGAATAGGAAGCTTCTACCATCAGAAGACATCAGGACAAAAATCTGAAACCAAGGAGAATCAAATCTACATCCGCATCTATGCAAGGTTAGTTTACACTTTCTTCTCACTGAAATGTAATTTATAAACATCTACAACATTTTCATTAATGTTAAGCTAAGATAAATTGAGTGAAAATGAGAAAACTAAATGATTGTGCATCTGCTTGATTGATTGTACTTTATTCAATACATAAAAAGAAAGACATAACCAAATATGACGAAAGTAAGAGTGTTTAAAGAAGTCAAATATAGTTAGCACAATAACTGGAATTGAAAGGCGATTGATTGGTTGTTACTTTCTTTTGAACCATGAGACATTGAATCTGTGAAAAGGTAAGTAGATTGTTAGTCAAATATATGATTGATTGACTGGGGGTTTTGCTTACCATAAAGCAATTATATTATAAAATAAAATGGTAAACTAAACATACCTTCTTTGATAAGATTGTTTGACAAATAATGCAAGAAGCATTATGAGTCAATATTCTGAAAAACTTCTTTGAAAACAACATTAGTTGTTTGCTTTTGAATCTTCCCTTCTTTGTCTAGAATCAGAATTTTCAAACCTGTCTTTGAGGTAACCCTAGATAAAGCAACATATAGTTGCCCATGAGAAAACACTGGCTTAGGCAGATAGAGTCCAACCCTCTCTAGTGATTGTCGCTGACTCTTGTTGATAGTCATAGCAAATGCTAGTGATACTGGGAACTGTCTTCTACGCATCCGAAAAGGTAGCTTTGTATCGGATGGTGTAATATTGATTAATGAAATCAAAACAATATCACGAATTCTGTCTCCGGTTATAACTCTTGCTTGAAGAACACGTGGGGTCATCTGAGTTACCTGAAGCCGAGTACCGTTGCATAGACCACCTTTAGGATCAATATTCCTGAGTAACATTATTGGAGCACCAATCTTCAGACGCAAAGCATGGTGTGGCAAACCTGGTAGCCTGATACTGTTTAAGAAATCTGGTGTGATAACAGGATTTTTAAGTGAATCGGAATCTTCAGGATCAATACTATCAGCACTGTAAAAAACTTGCTCATCACCTGTTGAAAAAATTAAAAAAACCTTTTAGCTGTAAGAAAGACTTGAAGGAAATAATTTCACAAAGCTAGTAAGCTATGACTCACCCTCCAACTTGTCTAACATATATTGGTTGATTGTGTGTACATCATCATTGGTTGGCGCCACAATTGCTCTCTTTTGAAAAAATACTGGATCTTCAGTACCTTTTAACATAGCTGGATCTCCATATATCTCACGAGTAATGGATTCAATTGGATCTTTTGCTTCGGTAATCAGAAGTTCTTCAGGTATATCAATTAGAGCCTCACCATCATTAGGTTCCGCAATTCTACCATCACCAACAGCTAGAAGCCAATCACTGAATTCTTTGATGTCTTTTGCTTCTTCTACACTCAAATCCTTCTTAAGTAGCCTCATGTTCTTAGTAAGCTTTAGAACCTTACAGTGATCCCAAAGATAAGACGCATTAAGAGCTGCCATCACAATCTCAGCCCTGCCTGCACCAGCGATAACAGGTAGAACTTGTCTAAAATCACCTCCAAAGACAACAACCTTTCCACCAAATACTTTGCTATTTTTATTACCAATGATATCACAAAAACTCTTATCTAGAGATTCAAAACACCACTTGCTCATCATAGGTGCCTCATCCCATATAATAAGAGAAGCTTTCTTTATCAGATCAGCAAGATCAGACTTTGGCTTTATCCTGCACACTGAACTGCTATCAGGTGTAAGAGGTATGGCAAACCTTGAATGAGCAGTCCTTCCACCTTCCAACAACAAAGAAGCGATACCACTTGAAGCCACGTTTAGAACTATATCTCCTTTAGATCTAATAGCAGCTGAAAGTGTTTCCCAAATAAAAGTTTTTCCCGTACCTCCAAATCCATACACAAAAAACACTCCACCTAGATCATTGAATACTGCAGTGGTAATCTCATCATAAACACCTCTCTGCTCCGGTGTCATAATATCTATCCACTCAGCATGCTTTTCAGCCAATGATGTACGGTCATACCTCATTTCATCAACAATCAAACGGTTAGAATTATCTATACCTTCTCTAGTTGGCTTAGGAAAGTTTTGTATATCTTCAAGAGTACCTCCATTAGACAACATCATTTTTTCTAGTTCTTGAAGAGTGTAGTTCCTAATTTCTGCCTCTGTCAGATTCAAATCTGCATATAAAATAAATGGCAATGTCAAGAAAAAAATAGAATCATTGCTTATTTAACTGAGAAAATGTATATGATATAACTTAAGCAATTTCATTATTTATCTCACCTTGGTTGTCAAACTCATTTCTCTTCTTCTGTTGAATATCTTCTGCTAACAAATGCCACGTCTGTTCCCAAACATATTCTGGCCTAGATAGGGAATCAGATAGTAGCAACATAGCGAAGAAATTCCTCAAAAAATCACCAAAACAGAATTGACTCGCATCAAACAGACTGTCAATGAACACCTGGTCATCATCTAGAATTCCTCGTGCAAAACATGCTTCTTTGTAAGTTGGATAGACAACACCATTATATGTTTTAATGTCATCAAAACATGTAGGACCTCTGACGATGTTAAGAAGGACTCGTAGAAAATATTCATCTTCTAGCTTCCTGGGAACATAATTAATCCGACCTAAGGACCATCCTCTAGACCTCTTATTCCACAGCTTATTAGTTCCATCCCATGTAAAATATGCAGGTATCTCTGCATATAGGAGTTCTCGAGCACGCTTTCCATTTTTTCCAATTCCATCATTCCTATTCAATGTTAGCCATGCCATGAATTGAGAATCTCGATTGAGAATTCTGTCCAAAACATCTGATATCACCTCTTTTCCTTTAAAATAAGCTGGTTGCTTTCCTTCTACATGAAAAGATAGCTTCAGAACAGGTGTTGATTTATGCTGTATCGGAAACTTAAAAATTCTCCAAATTGCTTCAGATGCTGACACATATCTACAATTTTGAATAATAAACAAATCCATTTCAGGATCCAGACTGACCAATCACAGAAATAAACTGAGAAAGAGCAAAATTAGGATACAATACCTGCAATCAAAATAATCTTTTATTTCATTCTTCTTTTTCTCCTCTGGTAATGGTTCTGATCCATTAGCTGTTTGATCTACGTGTGAGCCATTATCTGTTGGTGGTGGCTTGACAGGCTCCACAACAAATGCTAACTTATCTGGGCCTTTATTTATATACTTGAATAAGTATTTAATAGACCCAGTTTGATTACACCATTCAACGTTAATGTGAGCACCATACCTAACTGATAGTTTTTTATTGTATGGAACGACATACCTATTATCACATTTAATTCCACATTTCTCAACATAGTGGTCAGAGCGCCTTCTTCTATAGATAGGAAAACCATCAGCGCCTACCCTGGTGATATCCTCAAATTTTTTAGGATACGATTTAGAACACTGGCCATCCACCATACATGGAGAACTCATATTTGCTGCACCACATGGGCCATGAATCATTGAATTACTAACAACCTCATAAAGCTCTGGTTCTGTTTCTTTATCTGGAATCTCAGCAGATATCATCCTGTCAATATCGCTTGCTGTTGGAAGTTTGCTTTTAGCATCCATGAATAAAAGAATGTGAGCATGTGGAAGGCCTCTTTTCTGGAATTCTACAGTATACATAGCTGCATAACATAGAATATAGTGTGAAAATATTGAAATAGTCTCAGTTTATTGTTATTCTATTGGAAGTAGTCAGACAACTTACATGCGACAGTCTTTCCAAGCATCTTCTTTTCTGTTAGATCGTTCATCAGAGAATCCAACTTGATTTTGAATATCCTAGCAACAATGTCTGGCCTATCCTCAGCAGTTAACCCTCTTGCTGTGACATATCTTGTTATCTCAGGCCACTTATGGTTACATGTAAACGTGATGAATAAATCCGGGAAACCATAATGTTTACATATGGCCATAGCATCATAATAACTCTGAACCATATACCTTGGACCACCCGTAAAAGATGCTGGAATCAAAATCTGATTTCCTTCTTCTTCCATATTTGTTACACCAGAGTCAGCAGCTTCTTTTAGTGAGTTTGCATTCTCACATCTAAGCTTAGACTGATTGAACCTTATGTAGGATAGACGATTTGATTCAATAGTGGTGTAAGCGTCACAAAAAAACTGCTGAAACAACCTCTTCGACAGTAGAAGAGTATGGCACTCACCTGGCCTCTCCTGAATACGGAATGCAAACCACTAACGCATACTAATACACTTCTTCTTCTTCTGGTTATTACCCTTATAACATTTCTCTATACCTGGGGTGTAACCATCTTCACCATAGCAGAAAATCAGAGGATACTGAAGAGCCTGATAAGAAATATGAATCTGGCTAATCCTGGTTAGGTGGCCTGTAGTCCTTTCTTGTAGAACTATATCACGGTTTGGCATACCTTCTGTAAAGTCTCCGGGGATTAACGCTGCAACCTCCGAAGTCGTAGGCATGCTGTAAGTCCTTCCATCAGCACCTTTACGACCAGAGCATATCCTCATATGAAATGGTTGGGGATTAACGACCTCAAATCTTTCCTTGGCAATTCTAAAATTCTTGACATAAGGATTAACTTCATTGAGCATTTTCATAATGGCTTCAATTGTCTCTTTGTTCAGTATATCCTTGCTTCCTCTTCTAGTTGATTCTTTCCCCTTGCTACATTAAAAAAAAATAAGATGCCCATGATTGAGTATACCACAACATAGAAATACAAAAGAATTTAATAAGCCTGTTAAGTAGAAATAATACTAACCCAATAACAGTTGCTCTGTTATCTACTTCATTCTCAGTATCTACTATATAGAGTTGTGAATACTTCGCATAATCACCTTCTGCAGGTTTCAAACTGCCTATCAAATGATAGTTACCTCCTTGTAAACGAAACATGCTTGGACCTTTACCCTTAGGTATAGACTTATCTACTTTCCCACCTAGTGAGGTCATTGCGAAAACCATATTCCATATTCTCAAGTGCTTTCTGTAATTCCTACTTTGAGGATCTTTCCCAGTCAGAAGTTTCTTGATAAATTCTGGTGACTCTTTAAGAAAAGGCAGCTTAACAGAACCTTGACCACAACATAGTGTAAATGTAGGATCTGTCGATTTAACTTTTTTGTTTATTCTTTCAGCATGCCACATCAATGCACCACAATACTTACACGAGTAAGTAGGGTCACCATGATCAAGATAAGCTGAAAAACATAAATATGTTTCTCATAAGTTTCATATTCAGAATTACCAAAAATAAAAAAAGTACTGGGAAGGGCAAGAAAATTTACTTATTGGTTTGTTTTTCTTTTTTGATTTTCTTTTCTTTTTTCTTTTGGGAGGCACATTTCCTTCATGTGTTTCTTGCTGAACAGACTCAATAGATGATCTTGCCAAATCATTGGTATGAGATGAGACTTCAGTGATGTGTGACATCATTTCAATCTGTTCCTCGTCAGAAACTGACATTTCATTGTTATCTACTACTTCATCTTCACCTTCACTGCAACTAAGATCATAGCTTTGAGCTAGTGTCTCATCTTCACTGACATTACCAAACTCAGGATCATCATACATTTCATCATCTTGGCTATAATCACTATCTTCATTATCTATTACTTGAGTTGTATTCTGACCTTGAGAATACAAAACAGGAAAATAGGTTAAGACATGCCTCTTAATTACATTTTGTTTCCAAGCGAAAAACAATACAGTAAAGACTGTTACCTTTAGATGAAGAAGAGGTTTCTGCATTTGTAAAATCAATATCTAAGTTTTTCCTTGGCAAATTTATTGTATGAGAAACAAAGCTTGATGTCTGGAGGTTGGTTATACATGATGGATTTCCAGTGTATTGAACACCTACAACAGATATTAAACTTATTACTTATACAATATACTTCTCTTTTTAAAACATTATCATACCATAATTGTTGCAAAAATTATTCATATGTGGAACTTAATTAATCTAACCACCTATTCTCTTTGGTGTTACAGAAGGTGGAGGCATTATTGGAGTTGTAGGTGTTCTGCTAAAAAGACTCTGGCTTGTATTAGTCATGGCGCTTAATCCAGATGGAGTTAACAATGGGTTAGGTCTGGTGTAAGGAGAGCAAGGTACCAGAATTTTTCCACGAAGTGAACCTGTTTTAAAACTCATCAAGATTTAGAGATAAAGGTATTTTCTATTTATCTTTGATGAGAATGAAAACAAAATAATTGTAAATGAAAACTTGTCTTTAGAAACTAACCTTGATTCTTACTGTTCTGTTTTGCAGATGAAGATGTATTAGCATCTGCAGAGTTTTCAATGGGGCTAACTTGTGGGTGTGGAAGGTTAGTAATATCTCTAAAAGCACTACCAAACGCTGTACTAAGAGGGACAGAACCATTCCTGATTATAGGTAGATTAAACTGAGAAATGTTCCTTAGTCTAGTGTAAGGCTCATTTCCTCGATTACGTTTTGGTGGATTAGACTCAGGAACATTATTTTCTGTTGGAGATAGAGGTTTTTTTTTCATATTTTAGTCTAAGAATGTCTATAGATGATTAGACTACTTGGTAACTATATAAAGGAGATTAAGGTCTAAATAGAAAGCATTTTGATATCTGTAGATTGACTATTATTGTTAAATGATTGTCTGTTGCCAAAGATATAGGAACTAAGATATGTTATTTTCTATAAGTAATGAATGAGAACCTTTAGATAATATGCGGAATATACCAAACTATAAGATTGATTCCGTGATTATAGTGATTATTGTTGTAATTATAAGATTACTAACTATATTTTTTGTATCAGGAAAGAGAGCAATGAAATATTCTTGCTATTCACAATCAATATTAGCACATAAGGAAGATGGACTATTCAAATAAGGTAAACTGAACAAAACTGATAGTTTAGCAAATATCTCAAAACTTGTTAATTTATCTAATGAAATTATAACTTGGCTAAAACAATTATATATTTTATTGATCATATACTAAAACTTACTATAAAATAAATAACCATTAGAGTAGATTAATTAGATAAACATTAAATGCAAATAAAGGATAAAGCAGTGGATAGTCAAAAGAAACTTAAAACAAACTTGTCTTCAGAAACATAAAACAATAGAGAACCGAGAAAGGTATTTTTGTAATAATAAAACAACTGCAGCCACTGGTAGAACCAAATCATCACACTTCCAACTTCATTCCAACATCCTGAACATCATCTTGTTGTTCTGCAAAGCCACGTCTGTTTCAAAAAAGAGAAACATTACTTAATCCAATCAGTAATCATAGCATTTGATTACTTATTTAACTTCTGATAGGTAACTACTTACATGTATCTCGGAATGTCCAAATCAGGAAAGGTTGGATCAAGGAAAAGCCTTGAACAACCATACTCACTCATCAAACAGTTTTGACCTATTAAAACATGTTGATAGTTACCAGTTAGAGTTATTGTCTAATGTATTTGACAGTTATATATAGTTTAGAGGCCAATAACTAACCTTCAAACTCAGCAACCCTCCAAAAACGCAGGACAATGACAACTGGGTCATAATTGTATGTCACAGAAGTTATTTTCCTAAACCATTTAGTCACAAACGCCTGACAGGACCTACCCTTTGCAACACAGATTGTTTTCCTACCCCTACATGATCACAGATTCAATGCATTCAATACCACATCGCCAATACAGATACTAATTTGAGATATCTATTAAAATAAAACTTACATGTCATCCTTGATTTCGACAACAACAAATCTGGCTTCATAGTCTGTCTCTCCTTGACGACAAACAAATGGAAATCTTTGAATAGCAGAGACACTCGAGACCACACCAATAGCATCTGAGAATAAATTACAAATATACTTAATTAAAGTCAGAATAGAGCAAAGTTTTACTAATTTTCAATCAAGAAATAAATATACTTGAACCTGACACATGTTGCTTATCCTCTAATCCAGCATACTCAACTTCATCAGAATGAATGAAGTTGAAGAAATTTCCATTACATCTAGGAGACACAGGCCACATAGTGGTAGGCCATATACACTCTAGTGCAAAAGGATTCCAAGAGTACTTAACAGGTTGAGTAGATGGTACCACATGGAAGTCAGCCATGTAGTACCAGTGACCCTCCTTGAGACCTGGCCGGAAATTGTATAAGTAGTTTCCAGGAGGGATAAATGCATCAATCTGATTGGCCTAGGCATATAAAAAGAACTAAATAGTAAGTTTTCTCTGTGAAGATTCAAACAAATTAGTAAATCTGTGACTTAAGAAACAGAGGTTCAATAGAAGAAATTTTCTAACCTTTTCATCAGTCAGAATCATAATCGTAGGTTCATCAATAGCGTCTATACCTTGATTTCAGATAGATAAAATCTTCACGTACAAAGTCCATCTAGGTCTTTGCAGGTTGAGATCGGAAATGTAGTCAATAGTACCCATAAGAATCACAGAAAGTGTAAGTTTTTCTCAGTTTTTTTTTATAGAGAAGGTTAGGTTTCTGAATAAATCTAAAGGTTAAGTCTGAGTATTTATAGAATCGTGTAGAGATGTGAATGAATAGATTTAATTTCCTATATAAAATAGATATTATATATTGTAAATCATTGAAACCGTTTGAGATAAGTAAAGTTAGATATAATATATCAAAGAAACTGAATCGTTAGCCTGTAAAAGATCTTTATTCATAATTATAGTAATGATTATATAAAACTGTGCTTTCCATATTACGATTTCCAAGAATTTCCATCATTGTTTATAATAGAGATTTCGTGTAGCAAACATAAGGATGTTATAGCGGTTCTACTTTAGGTTTTGAGGTCTAATGATTAGATTAAACTTTTTAAATATGCTATTTCAATAACTGAGTAAGACAATGGTACAGTAGACAGAAATTGAAACAGGTTTATTAGAGGAGATTAACCAAAAAATCAAAATGAAACATCAATTAAAAACCAAAGTAAAAAACCAACAAATGTCTAACAATGAAATTTTAAAAAACTTGGAATTATGATAACTCCTTATTGCTTAGCAAACAGGTGCTAGATCACTATTTCTCTTTTTTGATCTTCATTCCAACTGCTTTAGCCACATGCCTAGTCTCCTTCTTCTCAGTCACAGGAAGATCACCACTGTCTTGAACACCCTTTCCTTTGTTGCTTTCAATCTTGACATTCTCTACCTTCACAACTTCAGAGATCTTGTCAGGAACTCCATTTTGAGACAGACCATTCTCCTCAAATTCTAGTTCTGACTTCTGTAAGTCTTTAGGCTCGATGCACACCTTCTTAGAACTGGAGGATTGCTCTGACTCAGACAGATTAGGAGCATAAACACGCTTGGAAGATGGAGTGGATGAGTCAGACGTGTCTTGACTCATTGTTAACATGAGACACTGAATATAGAGATTATCCGTAGGAGTGATTGTTGATATAATTTTAAGGAGATTAGATAGTTAAAAAATGTTACCTGATCTCCAGAAACAATTGAGGCAGGATTAACCAATTGTTCAGATTCCTCAAGGACATCTTCTTGCAAAAGTCCATCTTTGTTTAGGATTCTTGAAACCTTGAAAGAATCCTTACCATCCCAAATGTTTTCTTTCTCAACACATAGCAGAAAGAGAAAGGTCTTCCCAACCAAATTCCTTATTACGTCAGGCAAATCATTAGGGTCCTCAATCTACATAAGGAATTTAGTACTTATCAATTGAATGTTTCATGTATATCAATTACATATATGGTTTAGCATAATAGAATGTTACCTCATTGAATGATCCACCTAGCAATGATGCAGCAGTTTCACCAACAATTTCTGAGCATATACTGTCAAACAAAAGACATTGTGTTTCACCAGTGTTATCCATCACCTTAACATATAGCATGTACCTTCAATAAGAGAAGTCATATTAGTAATTATTTCAAAGGAAATAACACAAACTTATAAATATGCATTATTATCAGATTAAGAAAAGAAGACTCACTTTGCTATAACATTAGTGACAGCATTCCTGCAGACGTCACACCAAAACTTTGGCTTTTGTTTCTTCATGGAAGCAGTATTCACTCCAGAATGAATGTGAGTGACCTTTTTGTTACAGTTACGGCAACTAAAGTAATACCAAGCCCAATCTGTATCAATTCCATAGATTGTGCAGATAACTCTAGCCTTTCCAATCTACAGGGTATAGGTAATTAATGAGATTTCACACACTAAAGTAGATAAGAATGGTATATGAATAACTCAGACAAATACAAACCTCTGTTGAGTTAAAAAGATCTGATATTGTCTTCCTTTCAAACTGAAGACAATCATCATCCTTATTCACTGTAACCATCTGGAACTTAGGAACACTTTCACGGAAAGTTAAGGCTAGACCATCAGAGGGGAGACTGTTAATAGAAAAAACAAAGAATGTAATTTTCAGTCAGTTATAATAAAACTATAAGTTTAGAGTAGTTTGAAAAATAAACTTATACGCTCTGGTGAAAGCTTCAATCTCAGGGAAAGGTGGATTGATGTGAACTTGTGAGGCATCAAAGGAATTAGAGAGACTCCTAACACCTAGAAAGAAAACAGGAACAATTGTCAAATAAAATTTATTCATTACAAAACCTTAGGTTGAAATAGTAATATACCTTTGTATGCCTTAATCTTTGCAAATCTGATAACACAGATCACCATGATTCCATCAGCTGCTTGGCATGCTTGAAACATTTTTTCAGCAAAAGCCCCCCAGAGTGTGCATGACATCCTATCATCACTACAGTAGAAAACATGTAATCAAATATTAGATCATATCAAATCTCATTCTATAAATTCTCAGGTTACTTAATAATAAAACAACCATATCAGATCATCACTGTTTATCACGCAACTCAAAGTCAAGCTTAGTGGTTGGCTTGTTATTAGCTTCAAGGACCTCTAGCTCACCAATATTCACCACTTGACCCATGACATCTATATTTGGTTCACAACAATACATTTAATATATACATAAATTAACATAATTGATTTAAGACATGAGAATGTATATTTTAGAGCATTACATACCAATCAACATGTAAGGATTTAAATCGCCATTCTGTATTCTGCTAAACCTTGCCAGAGTTAAGTAGCTTGAATCAGAGACAATGTCAGACCGTGTCACAGTAGTGCCATTCACAAAGGACATCTTGTATAGATGACCGGTTGGTCTGAACTGCCCTGCTGCATGAGTAAGTGTAAAATGTTCAATGAACTTCCACTCATTCACTTGTAGGCTGTTAACATATTTAGCAACCAAATCCTTCTTCACAGAAGCATGAATCTTGACACCTTGTTTTAATAATGAAGTAGAATTAGAGTTAGGTTTTTACATGTTGCTCATGTATAGAAATATAAAATGCTACTCTCTGATATATTGTTGTTTTACCTGTGAATCAGCGAGGACCAACTCAAGGGTTTCACCTGTGTTGTTGGTATACTGGCGCCAAGAATGGAGCACCTTAACCTGGACACGCCAAGATGTCTTGTATGGTCTGACATCTCTTAACATTGCAAATTGGGAAGCCATTGGTGAAGGTAAATAAAGAAAATTTTATTATCTGATATATTGCTATTGGGAAATGAGAGATTGTGTGAATAGAGACGATGGGAATGAGCGGCTATTTATATAGTTTGAATTAGTAGGTTCCATTAGGTTTAGGCGAATATTATAAAATCCTTGATGATCAAGGATTAAATATATTGCGTGATCTTAATTATTGGAATAAAAGAGAATATGCTAGGTTTATTGAAGCGAGAATATAGATGAAATCTCTTCTATATTAACTATTTTCCAACTCAATAAGATCACTCCGAGATACATGCTTCAGTTGATAGAAAGAAATGATAAATGGAGTAGTTACTATTGCGTTATAATAGGGAAGATTAGATATGCTATGAATGTTTGCTTCTTGATTGGTGTAACTGGAAATATTTTGTGTATCTTTAACTGAGATTGAATTGAGAAACTTAATCATTTCTGCCATGAATGTAGGTCGTCACAACTAAGGAAAGATTTGGTGCCAAAAAATCGGAGCAAACTATCAAATTAGGCAAGATCCGAATGTCTAGTAAGCGGGTCAAAATTAAAGATTTCCGGGTCATATTTTGACCCGATTTGGGTACCCCAAAAACTGCTGCAAAAATGTATAGTAGATTAGATCTCAAATAATTTGTTATTACAAAAATAGACCTCATTTTTTTTAAATGTTTAGATTTTGTCTCAATTTTAAATTTATCTATTTGTTATTGCAAAAACAGACTTTATTTTTCTGAAATTTTAAGATTTGGTCTCAAGTTTTAACTTTATCGATAAAACCCATAAAAATATTATTTTGTATTGGGCCTCATATTTAACTGGGCCGGCACTGAATGTTACCGAAAGGGATGAAAATTCCAACTAACGGAGAACGATTCCACCTATAGCGGATGAAGACTACCACACAAAGCAAGATTTCTGAAGAAATCCGAACGGCAAGACGGGAATGGCAAGAACTCACATTTATACCAAATTTTTTTTGCTATATTAGAAAATTTAATTTAATTCTAGGCATGTTCAATATTAATAAACCAACCCGTGCAAAGATACAAATTCGACTCAAAAGCCAAATCAAATTTTTTTTCTTGGTATGATTTAAATGGATTCTTTATTTCTATATCCAAAAATTTGAATATGATCCAAAACCTAACTGAAAAATATATTTGCTAAAATCTGAATTCGAACGGATACTAAAACCATACAAAATCATCTGATTGTATATTACGTTTTTTTTTTTCATCTAGATTTATTATTTATTGCAAATTATGAGAACTGTTATATAGACGATTCTACAACTGACAAATCCTTCCGACCCTTATTAGATCCACGACAGACGTCACCTCTTTCACCTCCTTCTTCATGTTCACCTCTTTCTTCATGTTCTTGATGGACACTTCCCTCTCTGCGTAGAATCTTGGCGAACAGCTATAATTGTACATCGCTGGAGATCTCATGCACACTTGCCTCCAATAATCTGCAAATATATTAATAAATCGCAGTATCTGGGACTCGAACCCCAAACCTCTGGATGTAAAGGTATTAATTAACCCTTGATCAACCAATGGATCAAGGGGCTTCCACAATTGTATATTACGTTTAGTTTACATATAATTTTATAATATTATTCATGAAATAAAAAATCAAATTTGGTTCGAAAACTAAAATTACAAATGACTAAAATCCGAAGAAAGAAAACCAAAACCATATCAAACTATGTATTGTTATTCATGAACCGGAAATTTGAAAAACCAAAATCTCCAAACCAAACCGAATCAGAATCTGAATTGAACACCCCAAACCCTAATAAAAAAAGTATAAAACGTTTGACTTCCAATCAAACCGTGTTTACCGGTTTCTAAAATATCCGGTTTCGCGTGGTTTTGTCCGGTCCGTATCTCAAAAGAGAGAAGCAGACATTGAATCAACAACAATGGAGAAAAGAGACGAAGCAGGAGAGTATCATTCCAAAGATTTCGAATGGGAATTTCTTCAGAACATCGTCGAGAACGATCCTTCTCTCTCCCACCATCTCCACCACCACCAAGATTTCTCCAACTATTCACCAAATTCGCAGCCATGGCAAGATTTTCACTCCCGTCACTCCTCCGGCAAATTCTTCAAGGTTCACACACACATCACTACTCTAGGTTTTGAAATCAACTCTTATCAGTTCCAATCGAAGAAATTTTGAAGTTAGTAGTAGAGAAACTTGCTTCTGAATTTTTGACAATGTAGAGAGATTGGTAATGTATTATCATATATGAAGGTTGATCTTAGGTTTTTTTTCTGAGAATGATGTTATTCGTCTTGATTCGCCGTAGCCGGTTTTTCGTGTAGGAAAGAAGGTATTTGTTGAAGGAATTCCCTGAGTTAGTTTCTTGTGGTGAGAACTCAAAACTTTTGGAAATTGGTTGTGGTAATGGCAGTACTGTGCTTCCGATTTTACGGTATACTTCTTTCGATCTTCATTTGCAGTTTTACGCCTTTTCACTGCTAATCTTTATGTTATTCTTATGTACATTGTATCTGTTTTTATCTTTGCTTTTGTGCAGTGGAAGCAAGAACATTACTGTATATGCTTGTGATTGTAGCAGTGAGGCCCTTGTTAGGACTAAAGAGAACATTGATCGCGCTATTGATTTAGTTGATAACTTCCGTTCTTTCTGTTGTGACTTTTCGACGTCTGAGTTTCCTAATTGGGTCGCATGCGATCATTGTCGAGACAAGTTTATGGTTAACCATTCAGGTTTTGGTCTTTCTGTAGCAATTCATTTATCCTACATAAGATACACATTGATCTCTCTTACATGTCTTGCTAATCTTGTATGTCTTATATATCTTCTTCATTAATAGGAAGGAGCGAAGGCATGCAGGTTAACTATAAATGTTTATTGAATGAACATTGCATCGGCGGGGTGGAATTTGTCACTCTGGTATGTAAACATCGCTCTTTTAGTTAAGACCAAACAGTGTGCTCATTGCAGGAAACATTATGCTATGTTTCTGCAGTGGAATTAGTCAATTAGATTAGTGGTCATCTCATGATTTTTATGATGCAGTGACAAGATCGATTTTAAACTAAAGTTTATGGCGAAAATATATCTATCTTTCATGTTCTATCATCTAATTCTTAGCTATTAGGCTCTTTCCAGATAGCTATTGAAACTCGGATTTTCCAACTTTTTATGTTATGTCAGATATTTACATTGTCGGCAGTGTCTAAAGAAAGGATGCCGAGAGCTATCAAGGAATGTTTTTCTGTGCTGAAACCGGGTGGTCTGCTCTTGTTCAGAGATTACGGTAATTGTTGTTGAATCAGCATGAAAGGTCTACCAAATAAAGAGAATCTAATAGGCTAAACACTTTGACAACTATTCAGGCTTATATGACATGACTATGCTACGGTTTGAGCCAGAGAAACGTGTAGGATTTAGGGAATATGTGCGGTCCGATGGAACCCTTTCCTATTTCTTTTGTCTCGACACTGCCAGGAAACTATTTACTGATGCTGGATTCATTGAGGTAAACCTTTGTGTTCTTGTTCTTTGTTGTGAATGAATAGCAAAATCTTTTAACATTTTGATTCTCGTGTATAGGTTGAGCTTGAATATTGCTGTGTCAAAGCAGTAAACCGGAGAAAGGGTAAGGACATGTACCGAGTTTGGGTTCATGGGAAGTTCCAAAAGCCCTTCTATAATTAAGTTGAAAGGCACAACGTTCTATTCTATCCGTGAAGATTGCAGAGTCTAGTTTTTGGATTATCTTTACACTTATCCTCTCATACTAAGTTTCCGTTCTTTGTTCTCTAATCTTGATATCTTTGTAAGCAATTTTGTAACCTCACTTGTTCATATATTCAAAACCATAATCATAAGACACTAATGAAAGCATTGCAGAGCAAAACTAAACTAGTTTTGTGTACTGTAAGGGCTAAATCATCTTCGTCTAAAACTTTTTCTTACAAAACAATCTTTGAGTTTCATGTTCTCTACTTCAAGCAATCCACAACGTTCATGAAACTCATGTTGTTTTGGAGATTTTAGAACCTAAATTTAATTTTTATTCTTAAGAAACCAGCACCTGTTATTATGATTTTATTTCAATAAAAGAATAGGAGAAATATATATATATTATAAAAAAAAATCTCCAACTTCAAAAATGGTTGAAAAAGCACAATTTCCCGATTATTAAAAATCCTCAACTTTTATTGATTTAACATTTTCATTTATGATTTTTGTTGACTTGGCCAAATTAGTCCCACCGTTATGTGGTTTGATGGAACCGTTATTTTTTTTGTCTGTCGTCTTGACGACATGACTAATTAGGAAAAGTCAACAAAAGTTGAAGCTTTTTCTCAATGAAATATTATAGAATTATTTTTTAAAAATATGTAGACAAAATATCTTTATAATTCAAATATCTAATTCCAAATTTTAGTTAAAACTACTATATTATTGATAATTTCAATCAGCAAACAAACAAATCAAATCTATATATAATAGCAATCTAATAAATACCATTTGCACATCTGAACGGTTGCGTCTTTTTATCGCAACCTTTCGTTTAAATCGGTTATTTTTAACGGTTATATCTTTTAATTGAATTTTCTCTGAGGATTTTCGTTGAATTATTTACGGTTATATTTGTTCAATTACAGTCGTATTTTTTCAGTTTACAGTTATACCTTTATAGTTGCATTTATTCATTTAAAGTTACGTTTTTCCATTATATAATTTCATTGCATTTTTTGTATAGTTAGTAATACTACGAAGTTTTTTTACATCAACCATTAGACAACATATCAAATTGGTTTTATTAACCAAAATAACAGCCTCAATAAATGCATTTTGCACTTTTGAACGGTTGTGTCTCTTTATAGTACCTTTCCATTAAAATATTAACGGTTATTTTTTCGGGTGTGTTTTTTATCGCAACTCTTCATTAAAATATTGACGGTTATTTTTCGGTTGTGTCTTTTTATTGCAACTTTCCGTTAAAATATTGGTTGTTACTTTATTCGTTTGTCTTTTTATTGCAGCTTTCCGTTAAAATATTGACGGTTATTTTTTCTCGGTTGTGTCTTTTTATCGTAACTTTCCGTTAAAATGTTGACGGTTATTTTTTCTCGGTTGTGTCTTTTTATCACAACTCTTCGTTAAAATATTGACGGTTAATTTTTTAGTTGACGGTTATTTTTTCGGTTGTGTCTTTTTCTCGCAATTTTTCGTTAAAATATTAACGGTTACTTTTTTCGTTGACGGTTATTTTTTCTCGGTTGTGTTTTTTATCGCAACTTTTCGTTAAAATATAGACTGTTATTTTTTTCGGTTATGTCTTGTTATCGCAACTCTTCGTTAAAATATTGACGGTTACTTTTTGTGTTGATGGTTATTTTTCTGGTTGTGTTTTTATATTTTTTTGGTTTTGACCCGGTAGAATTTTTTCTCTCTATATTATAACTCTTCGTTAGTTATTTTGTCACTTATAAATAATTTTATATTCACAAAAAATGTTTCAAAAGTGTTTTTTATTCATAATTTTTTTTTTACATTTTTATTCATAAGTTTTTTTTAATATCTTTAGAAAATATTTACGATATAACTTTAAGACATAGTTAATTTTATATAATAATTCAATTATTTGAATATATTATAATAATAATTTAATACATATACGTAATAAAATATATTTATTGAAAATGTGTTTCCCCGCGATATCACGGGGTTCATAACCTAGTCAAGTAAATAATTATATAAAATGACGGACAAAAGTAACAAATCAATTACAATAAAACTCTTATAAATTAATACTCGATAAATTAATAAATTTAATAAAATAAGAAAATTCTCTGCATGTTTAGATCATGCCAATGTAAAAGTAAACAAAATTTAATAAAATAATAAGATAATATTGTTATATTTAACTATAAATTTTTCTCTTGAGGTTGAATTTAAAGATTGAATTTGCTTATGTGGGAGTGTAAGAAATTTTATTTTAGGTATACACATTTCAGAATCTAAAAACAATTAAGAAGCAATAACAAAAGCATTAGTTAACAATATAAGCACGCTCTCGATATCAAATACATTAGCAATCTATAAAATGACTTGTTGTTCATAGTCATAAGAATATCTTTATTCCCGATTTTTACCAAAATATATATGTTTTGATCAATTTTCCAATGTCGAATCAACAATCATCACATCTCATTTCATTGCACAAAGATGGTTTATACCTTCTCGACCTCAACGAAACCACCTTGTCAAAGCTTGACTTGCCGTTTACATTACCGGCCAAAACCGAACCGGCCTGTATTCTTCATTGTCGTGGAATGATGTGTCTGACCCTTAAAGACAACAATGACCTAGCGATTTGGAAACCAGGTTCGGATGAATTCAAGAGAATACCAATGGTTATACGGGGCCAAACCACAAATCTTTTGGGATTTGGATATGACCGGATTTCTGATGATTACAAGATCGTGACGATAATCGGTTTCAAAACATATATCTATGCGTTCAAAGAAAGTTGTTGGAGAGAAAGTGTACGAGAAACTTCTCTTCATTGCAAATTCAAAGACCGGACTGGTACGGTTGTGGATCATTGTATGTATTGGATACCAGACAGGTCTCACACCAAAAACCCCCGTAGAAAAAACACCATTCTGTGTTTCGATTTCGCGAAGGAAGAGTACCAAGAGCTATTATCACCGATGTACGCAGAGTCGAAATTCAGTTCATGGTTAGGGGTTCTAAGAGGAGAGCTATGTGTTATCGATCATTACCCATGTCTAAATAATGACATTTGCCTATGGCGCCCGCAAAGAAAAGGCAAGAAGATCATGCATTGGAATCTCGACCCGTGGACCGTGAATGAAAATGTTAAAGCATTCAACATTTTTAATGTTACAAGATTCAAAAAATTTGATGTTGGTTTTGCGTATATAGCAAGAAACGAAGAACTCTTCATAGTGGTGAATGGTAATGGAAAAGGAGAAGACAAGTTTATGGTGTATAACGAGAGGCAAGAGGAGTTCACTGAAGTTCCAATTGGTGGCTCTTTGGAAGGGTTTAGATGTATGAGTATATATGACAATCGTTTCTAGTTATGTCAAGATTAAGGACATTATAGATTGGTTCTAAATAATTATAACTAACTATGCAACAAATATCTTATGGTTATTTCATTCAATTTGAAAAGATAAACTGTATAGATTTGTATTTCAACAAGTAATGAGTTAGCAGAAATCTTGAAATGAGCACGAAATGTCAATATATGAATTCTTTCATTATTCGTTATTTCCAGGTCTCACAATTACAGTTCACAGCGCCCTTTAGGAATCTTCGGTCAAGGTACGAAGTAACTCGACTGAAAGAAGAAACAGTTCTTTTTAGTGGCTTTTTCTTGTCCTGGACCATTCAGCCCTTTCTCAACCAAGTAGTATATATATGATCCTCTAAGAAAATTAATTTGTGTTGTTTTATATATATATATATATATATATATATATATATATAGACATAAATGAATCAATAATATCTCGAACGATAAAAAAAAAGCATTCCACTATGGTGCACATTTTAATGACACACATGAAAACAGAAAACACCTAATAACATCAAATGTAGTAACCTATTAAAATTGTTATGTGTTTTCTTCTAATAACATAAATAAATACAAAATTTTAATCGTAAATTCTTTCCCCTCCTTATCGGTAAAAAAGTTTTTTAATTAATGTATAGTTGAAAAAAATTAATCTTAATCATAAAACTTACCACCTTCATTATTTTATTTTAAGTGATGTTTAGACATACTACACACAAATTAAGAAAATGACAAATATATACCATAACCGCATGTTATTGAATTGATGATTTTAGAAATTCATCCAAAATCATGCGGTTATTGGATTAAGAAATACGTTAGCTAACTTTCAGATTATATTAAAGTTTAGTATTATTGGTTGATTGACTTTGAAATTTTTTGTTCATTTGAAACAACTTTTAATGATTTTCAAAATTATAGATGGTAAGGTGATATTCTACAGAAAATCTCTGTGAATATGTGAAATCTTTTTTAAACTCTCTAAAAATTTCTTATATTCTGCAATCATCATAATCATCATAATTCTACATTATCACAATCAAATAACATCCCCTAAGCGAATAGCCATTTGACCGAATAGAATGATGAAAATATTATTAGAATAAGTACATATTCTCTATTTTCTTATTTCATGCCTCTTTTAAATACATAGTTTTCTTTTCATCTTTTTTTGGTTCATGTCTTTTCCTACAAACTATAGTAACGTATGACATGACTTGAATTTTTTTTTAAATAAACAAAAATTCTTGAAAAAATAATATGTTGGTGTCAGATATCTCGTAATCTATCCGACCCGAGGAATTAGTGGGCTTCAAAGTTAACGGGCCTTAACACTTTGTAAACCCAGAGTTGCACATTGGTCAGGCCCATTCGAAGGTCCACTCATTTCAAATCTTCACTTCGGAGAAACGGAACGATCTCGTGAAGTAATGAAGGGGCGTTGATTGCGGATCCGTTGACTTAAAAGATTCGAAACAGATGTAATAAAAGAGGCGGGAATTTATTACCCTGAAGCCCGCACTTGTGACTATAAATAGGGACAATGTAACATTGTAAAAGGGATCGGAAATTTTCTATCAGAATCAATACAAAAACACTCTTTCAAAAAATTTCTTATTTTCCGACGATCGATATTCGACCGTCGAGACTAGAGACTCGCATAATATTGACGAAATTATCAATTGCGGATTCCGACATCCACATAATAACATAATGCACATAAGTTTGGAGAAATATATGCATTACTTTTATTTTGTGGAGCACAAAAGCAACTAAATCCATTAAACTTTGGGAAAAAAGAGTTTTTTCCACATAAAACAGTTTAAGAGTCGCAAGCTTATACATGAGAAAATCAATCTTTATGTACGAGTCGTTTTGGAAAACCTATCCGCACAAAAATAATAATAAAAGTAAAATAAAATAAAATTAAAAAAATAGTTCTAAAAACCTAAATTCCTCGAATTTCTCAATAAAAGAAGACCCAAAGTCGGAAGAAGAGATTACCAACAAGATGAATCCTTCAAACCACAAGATACTGAAGATGTTCATATCAAAAATTGGAAGATGGGATTACCAACAAAAGTCGGAAACCTAAATTCTTGCAATCCGTTTAACAAAACATCAGTTAGAGAAACTAAAATAAGATTCTAATTCTAACTCTCCATAAAACAAAAATGATACATTAATCTATGCAAATAAATATAATTTTTCTTCTTCTAATTATTAGTTTAGAAGGTTGTTTTGAAATTCCTTTATTATAATTCCAATAATGATTTATTTTGCTTGTAAGAAACAAAAAAAAACAATAATAAAATATATTTAGGATATTTTTCCAAAATTGTATTTTCTCTACCAAATCACCCAACCTCACCTGACTTGTCTGTCTGCGTTCTCATTGGAATCTCAGAAAGTTTTTTTTTTTTTTGTTAATACTATAAAATAAAATAAAAACCTTTCCCACTTGGTGGTTTCTTCACTGTGTCTCACATCTCTTCGTCTTCTCCGCCTCCTCCAATCTCACTCCGATCTCTCTACGATTCACTAATCTTCAATGGCTTCCATTGCTGCTTCTTCTTCTACTTCTCTGCTAGCTCGTCCTCGCCAACTGGTCTCTCTCTTTCTCTTCTTTACTCGAATCATCCCATTTTGCTATAGATCTGGTCTGATTCGTCTCGATCTACTTGCTGTTCTTCTTCTTCAATTGTAGATCTAATTGCATAATTGTTTTCTCAGCTCCATGTCGATTCCTTGAAATGGCTCTATGATTCATGTTTGGCTCTATCAAATTAGTTTTATACTTTTCTGGAATTTTAGGTATTTGGCTCTGCAAGAACGTATAATCTGTCAAATCGCCGGAATAATTGTTTGTTCTCGTCGAATTGAATTTTTGTTCTTGTATCTAACTTTTGTAAGAGCATTGAATCAAGAATTACTTCTTACATAGATTTTAGTTGCTTCTTTGGTATTCAAGAAACCGAAAAGCTTGTTCCTTCTCGCAGATTGTTTCGTTATTTTGCATTTCGAGTTTCAACTTTGTACCGATGATGGGAAGTTACTCGAATATGATGGCAGGTGATTGCGGCTAATCAAGTTAAATGCTTTAGCTATGGAAGAAGAAGCTATCTTTCTTTTAATCTTCGCCAGCTCCCTACCCGCTTGACTGTTTCCTGCGCTGTAAGACCTCTTTGTCTATTCTCTCATAGTAGAAGTTTTGTTTTTGCTGGTCCAATTTGACTTCTCGAGCCATTTCAACTTTTGCAATCAATGTGATTAGGCTTCTATCGTACAATTGGGTGATTTATTTCTCCGTTTTTGATTGTTGGTAAATAGGCAAAACCTGAGACAGTGGAAAAGGTGTGTGCAGTTGTCAGAAAGCAACTATCACTTAAAGAGGAAGACGAAGTTACTGCTGCTACCAAATTTCTTGCACTTGGTGCTGATTCTCTTGACACGGTAACTTAACAACCTTCTCATGTCTAATATCCATCCGCTTTTAAAATCCGTTTGCTCATTGGATTCAACTTTTGTAATGGATTGTTCATTGGACTTATTAATGCTTAATCAATGCCTCTTGAAAATTCTTTCCTGCTTTCAAGCTCATATTGTCTCACTCGAATGTTTAGATTGCAAGTCTTGTGAAGGGTCGCTGTGTTTCCTTATACACACCTCTTTTGTGTATATATTGTTACTGCTATGCACATGCTCATGACTCTTGTGTTCAGGTGGAGATTGTGATGGGACTAGAGGAAGAGTTTGGGATTGAAATGGCGGAGGAGAAAGCACAGTCAATTGCGACAGTTGAACAGGCAGCTGAGCTCATTGAGGAGCTCTTGTTGGAAAAGGCCAAGTAGACTATCGTTTTATTACATTAGCAAAAACCCAAACCACTACTATCTTCTTATTGATTCGTTAGCTAGAGAGCAATTGTGTCTGTTGAGATTTTATCCTATATTTTGGGAAACTTATTACAAAGCTTGTATTTGAATTTATCTTTCTTCTAAAACATTTGTACTTCCACCTTCAAAAAACTTTTACTTTCTGGTATGCAAACATAAGTTTCAATAATACGACCTCGTACTTGTTCACATTCTAGTTTGATTAAGAAACTTGATAGATTGCCCAATGTTTGATTCCACAACCAAAATGATGTAATGCATCTTATGTATCTGCATAATTATTAGTTTAGTTGTCAAATACTCGAAAGTTTCTTTCCAAAACTTCTAACAGTCACAATAAGACACTTGTCATAAATCTTTCCATCCGAAAAAACATCTAACATTTTATAAATATTTGAATTTATATATACAATAATTGAGTATGAAGTAGAGTTCTTATTTTCTACTGTTGAAAAATTAGCAGAAATGAAAGACAAAACAAAATGTGAACCAAACTTTTTTTTGTTTCAAGATAAATGCAGATGGAGTTAAATGATTCTTTGTTTTGGAAACTATTTGTTAAATAATATAATGAAAGATTTGAGTTAGTGCCGGCTCAAGCATTTAATAGGCCCTGGGGCAAAAACAAAAACTAGGCCCCTATTATATATATATATAAAAAGTATGTACAAAAATAAAATAACAAAAAAAATATTTATACTAGTATTTTTTATGTACATTTGTTAGTATAAGATGGGATTAAATTGTGATCCGACAAATTTGATATCTTACTCGAATATTCCATATATAACTTAGATCGGATTATAAAAAACCAAACTCTATCACCAGATATTCCATATTTAACAATATAGATATTTAGTAGATTTGGTTAAGATTTAAAATTATGATTCTCCTATCATCTTTGTTTGATTTTTTTCAACTGTTTTGAATCATCATATACTACATAATTTACAATATTTTTGTTCTGCATATATTGTGATTCAAAATTTTTAAAACATATATTACCTAATTTACAATCTTTTCTATATAATAAATAATCATTAAATTTTAAAAAATACAATTTTTTAGAAAATAAATCGTTTCGCAGTGTACCGCAGATAAAAAAAAAGCATCGTTTACAAAAGATAAAACAACAAGATCATTTTCGTCGATGGTTTTGATGTAAAGCCTTTATTTATAATAGAAAGCAAAAGAGATTTGGTCCAATAAATCAATTTTTTAGCTATGTTGGGTAAAATAAATCAACATCTAATTTTGGCCCTATAAATTAAAACAAAAAAAATGAAAGAATTTCGTTATGGTTTGTAATGTCAATATTCATGGGCCTTTTTTTATAATATAACTCATGTTTTGTAATGTCTATGGGCCTTTTTTTATAATATCACTTTTTTTTTTCCGAAATACTTGCACAGATTTTTGTTTTTTGGTTTTGCATACAAAGGAAAAAAAAAATTGTGGGCCCCTTGGGTTTGTGGGCCCCTGGGACTTGCACTGCTCGCCCCCCATGTTAAGCCGGCACTGATTTGAGTGCTTTAAATATTTTTGTTTCATTATAATCTAGGAGTTTTGTTGTCTTAACTCCTAAGAGCAAACGCAATGGCGTAATTGAGACATGGGTGTAAGTTATAAACAATTGAGAAATATTGCAAAAGTTACATTTTCAACAAAAACCGGGTGTAGATTTACACTCAAGTGTGAGGCATTATAAAAATAGAAAAAAATGTATTCTCTCTATCTCTCTCTCTTTTCTCTCTTTCTCTTTTAATTATAATAATAAACAATTACTTACACCCACAATTACACATGCTCCACTGCGTTTGCTCTAAGGCTCAAAAATTCAAAGGGGCTATGAAAAATCGTTTTAAACAATATTAGAGATATCATCGAAATGTCTAGAGAAAAATTGACCACAAAAGAAGGCAACGAAGTAAGCGGAGTGGTAACGCATGACATGAGTCATCTAAAAAAAGCATGTGTTTGAATAACACTCTCATGGTACAAGACTTTTGTTTGCTTATAAACAGGATCACAAGTTACTATAACTATTCAATCTATTACCTCTTATGTTTTGCTACGTAATAAGAAAAAAAAAAACAATGAAGTTCTTGATTTACCTTGTTGTGTTTGTTCTTCTTTTCAATGGTTTGACGGCCAACAGAGTGGAAAATTCTCTGGTTCAGAAATATTGCAATCAAAGTTCACAGTACGGAGAACGACATTTCTATAAGTTTTGCATTGCGTCTCTCGAAGAGAATGTGGAAAGTCGAAAAGCAAGAAATGTCGATGATTTAACATTGATAGGAACGAATAATGCTTTATCAAACCTAACAAATGTGAAAAGAATTGTGGAGAAGATTCTAAACGAGAGGAAATATAAGAGCAAGCTGAGTAAGAAGTTGTTGCAAAATTGCCTTAAGCTTTACTCTGAAGGCTATGAGGCGTTAACCTCAGCTTTGAAGTACATCAAAATGCACGATTTGTTAAAACTTTCGTTTCGTTTGAAGAAAGCAAAAGAAGCAGCAAGCATTTGCGAAATGGGATTCAACGGCGACAATCAACAAATATCTCCAGTGATGAAAGAAAACGAAGTTCTCTTCGACGTGATCAACATTCCTTACATGTTTAATTTTAATAGACATCGCTAGATTAGAGCCTAAAAAAGAATAGGAGGCATGCATGAGTTATATTTTAATTAAAAATATGAAAGACAAGATTGAATCTGTTAATCAAAATGGTGTTAATTTTTGTGTGTGTGTGTTTGTGGTGTGCATGTGCGTTAAGAATGTTTTGTTTAGTTCTTATAATCAACATTATAATTACGGTTTAAATATAAAAGATTATTTTCATGGATTAACTCATAGAATATCCAATTCGTATCATTTGCGTATTATTATTTTTGATAAAAGCGAATATCTTTGCTATTTATTACAAAAGTATATAGATCAAATAAACATAAATCTATAAAACCTAGGATTTATATATATATCATGATAGATAGAAATCCGAGAGAAAACGAGAGAGATGACGAAAGAGGTATGAGAGAACTGATGATGACATGAGTTCAAACCATACCAAATTGCCCGGGTTCGACTTTGTATCAACCACCTAGAACAAGGTCTGGTACAAAGACAGTGCGGGAAGAATTTAACAAAGTGTGGAGAGTTTGATAAGCTATAGAGAAATGGAGAACACCATCACACAATTTCGATAATCTCACTCTTTGTAGCAATAAAACAGAGCCCAAGGAGCAACAAACTAAGGTTAAGAGTCTAGACTTAAGTGTTGGCCCAAGCTTTTGTAAACCAACAAGTGAAATGCCTCTTTTCATGAAAAGCAAAGCCCAAGTTCTCTTTGTCATCACTCCAAACAATGCCACTTAAGAAACGTACGTAGAAGACATTCCAAGGCCGAGAGCTTCCTCCCCAAGCTAAGGTATGCGTTTAAATCTTTTCAATTAAATGTCAAGTTTCTTTTTCTTTTGCAAGTTGATTCGAAATTAGTCTAGGTTCATTTTGTCATTTATTTCTCAATTATTTGTTGCATTTTCTTGTCTTTCTCAAGTTCCTAAAAGGTCAAGGCTGTTGACATATTAATAAGGTCCATTGTAGCTCATGTTTTTGCCTATTATCAATAAAGAGAATTTTCTTTAAAGTGTTACGAGTTTACCGATCTTGTGCGCGCGGGTTCCCCTTGATTCGTGAGTTCTTCGACTTATCACAATCTCACTCATCAATTGTGTGGCTTTCCTCGATCCATTCCATCCTTTAGCCGAAGCAGAGAGAACCGTGCGGTCCTTTGTACCGGAGTTGGCTCCGCCAACTCCGGTTTCGACATCTACGTAGAAAGTACCGTGTGGTCATCTACTTAGATCCTATTAGCTCCTTGATCTTATATCAAGAACAGAGAGAGATGAATGTAGATATATGAGCATTGGAGAAAAACTATGTAAAATAGAGATATTTTCATACAAATGAGTGTTTTGTAAGGTTTGTGGCCCAACATTATTAGGACCGGTTTTGTATTTTTTTACTAGTGCGAAGAGTGAGTAAAAAAAGTACTCCCTCTGTTCCAAATTAGAGGATGTTTAAGCCTTTTTTTCTTGTTCCATAATATAAGATTTTTTTCAGATTTTTATGCATAATTTATGTTTATTTAGTTTATTTATGACCTTTTGAATTCTGCTGTCCTTTTTTCTATTGGTTAAATTTTTATAAATAAATAAACATTTATTACTTCTTAATCTTTGTGCTTTTAACAAAAGCATCTTATAATTTGGAACAGAGGGAGTATTTGTTTTGAATGATTCCTACAGATTTTCTCATATTGTACTTACACTTTATTTAGAATAACATTTTTTTTCAGTCCTTATCTTTTGCGGCAAATGGAGCTAGAGGCCTAACAAAATTAATAAACTTCAACTCCGAATTTTGCCACCACTTTTACAACATTTATTTAAATATCCATTACATTCTTTACAACTGTTGAAATTTTTTTTAACATATCAACTATATCTAGTCTAATGAAATAATTTAATTTTATGATTTAACAATAAAAATAATTAAACTCCAAAGTAGACAACATGAACATCAGGAAAAAAAAAAAAACATATAATTCAACAAGATTCATATATTTAAACCCTTTTGATAGATTTCCTAACGTAAATTGTATGAACTGAAATATCTCACCTACAACAAATGAAAGACCACAAATTCAATCACTAAAGCTAAACAGCGGAAGGGAGTAGTCATTGAATCAATAATCTAAAGCTTAACATTAGTAAGTAAATCTAACAAGTTCATCTCGTCTTTTTTTTTTTTTTTTTGTAATTTCCATGAGACCTACAGAGATTTACAGTAACAAAAATACAAACATTGAAGCAAGTATCATCAGATTTCAATCTGAAATCGAGGAAAAGAAGAAGAATTACCGAGTTTTGTTGAATGTATTGAGCCTTGTGTCTGTGATGTAATGAGAATTGTTGAATGTATCACTCTGTGTCCCTGTTTCACAATGAGAAACGAAAAGCAGAGAAACAAAAAAGAAACATGAGCAAAAATATACAAGTCACTTTCAATAGAGATTGTACTGATGAAATTTCTCATCTTACAACTCCACAAAGAATCTAAAGGGCACGTCGTCACTTCTAATCAACAAGAGTTCTTATAATAGAAAGTCTGATAAGTGATAAGCAAGATTAATCAAGTCCGGAACGCAAAACAAAATTGGATCTAAAACCGTGTGAGCCGACAGAGAGAGATTGAGCATGATTGAGAAGAACGGAAGCCACCATTGACGAGTTCAGACGAGAAAACGGGAGCCGAGTAGTCGCTTCAAGCTGTCAAACGATTAAGAGGGCTTTGTAGATCGATAGTGAAACTGACGATCGAGATCCAGAGGGATTGAGACTGAGAAGGATCGAGAGTGAAAGATGGGACATACAAATGGGGATTTTTTTTTTTTTTTGTCAACTGCTTTTAATTAGAACTCAAAAGAGTCATTCTTGAGGAATGTTGTTTACATATGTGATACAAATGGGGATTGTTTGTGAGGATTTCTAATCGAGTTTGAGAATGTAAGAGCACCTCCATCAGCCCATATTAAAAAAAAATTTAAAAAAAAATTAATCAAAAAATAGCTGAGAAACTTTGAGAAATTCTCTCTCATACACATGTCACTCTTAGATTGGTTTAACAATTTCTTTTAAAAATCAATTACTCTATGGTTTATAATATCAATTAAATAATTTATAAGTTATTATTTTTTACTTTTTATTTTTCTAAAATTCATAAAATAAAAATATCTATATATCAAACTCCATTATACAAAAGTTTAAACTATATATTAATATTATTTTTAATTAATATTAGTTAAGGTTAATATAAATATAAATTAATATTTTTAGTTAATATAATACTATAATATTAGAAAATAAATCTGACATGAATAATTTGATATTTTGTCAACATTTTGATATTTTGACAAATAATGTGTTATATTTTGTCATTATTTACAAAATGTCTAATGTAATTAAAATCTATTTGATAAACTGATGTGTAATTTTAATCATATTGTTTTACAAAATGTCTAATATAATTAAATGATTTAATATAATTTTTTTATTAAAATATTAATTTTATGTAGATGAGATACTCATAAGATATCTCACTAATGGAGGTAACATTATAGTATGAGTTTCTCTAAATAAAACATTAAAAAAAATAGTATTATATGGCTAAGATACCTTGTGGGTATCTCACCAATGAAGATGCTCTAAGAAGAGAGAAGATATAACCAAAAGGTTTCATATCTAGTTCCAATCCATTCTAATTTCTTTTCTATTTCTTTTTTGTTATCTCTATTTTTTCTTTTCTTAATTAGCAAAATTTTGGAGCCAACAATTTTTTTTTGTTTCTTGGTTTTCTCTACGATGACGTTTTGAGTGTCATATATGCCATTATAAAACCAAAAATTAAGCGTCACTACGAAAGGTTTTCGCGGTTAACCTACCACAACGTTTGCTTGTTGGAAAATGCTATGTAAATTTTCTCAAACCGTAATTATAGCAGAAAGATTAAAAACGATATAATGTACTGCTATTAATACCTAATTTCCTGTAATGAATCACACGTTAAAAATATGTTACTAAATTTTATTTTGAGAATCATAATACTCAAATTTAGCATATCTTAATAAATGAGAAGTTTAGTTTTGCACATTCTTTGCTCAGAATCAAATTACACGGTCAAACCTCGGTAAACAGAGTTAGCAAACCTTGCAACTCTATAGAAGATCTTGCTATAAGACATTATAAAAGACCTTCACTTCCATATCTCAAAAATCTAAACATATGAACCAACAACGTCTATTCTATAAGCTTTGAAATGTGAATCAAACATAGATTTGAAAAGTCTATATATACAAACTTAGATTAAAGAAAAAGTAAAAATCAATTTATATGGGTGATTGGTAATGGGCTGTGAGGACTTTTATTTCATTAAAAAGTATTTACAGTTTAATTTTATCCAATCATGCTTTTAAAAGTGTTAAAAGTGCAACGACTTTTTCTCTTTATTTTGTTTTGTTAGTTTTGAAAGTCTCTAAAATACTTTTGAATAAATAACAAATCAATTATTCTCTAATATAAAATACAAGTTTCACTATTAATAAACACAACATTTCAACAAAAATAAAAACATTCCAATTGATAATAGTGAATGTAAACCCGACTTTACTATTAGTAGTCTATAAAAAAATCATTCAAAACAATAAAAGTCAATGAAAAATCATTCTTTACGAAACAAATTAGCACATAATAGTAGATCAAGAATCATTTTTATATCACTATAATTAAAAAATAAATTAACATTACAGTCACTGCTTCTATAGCTTTTGTAATCTTTTGCTTTGTTGAACACATGAAATCTATTACAAAATGGACGTGTTAAAAAACAGATAAAAATGATTTACAGTGATACAAAATGAGAAAATGTTATTTTACAAACTCACAACTTTTGCAGATGCATATGTCCCAAACATACATGTTATTTCTTCTCTCCGGCAAGATGTATACAAAGATGATAATTAGATAACAGTTTGAGCAGAGTAAAAGACAAAAAAAAAGACTTCAAGTAGAAAATTGATATCAAAGGTTCTATTTTTGTACATGAGGTTTTTAGAATGCTATTTGTGTCTTTCGCCTTGTCCTATTTTTTTTTTCCTTTAAACTGGCGTTTAGAACAAGATTTCTTTTGAATGATTCTCTGCATGTTGGGCAGCTGAAACACGCTCTTGTTAAAGATACACATAAAGGGTATATATGCATCAAACAATCCTTGCAAAACACATGTGTGTACA